TCTATTGAAATGTTTCTTTCGTGAAGTGTGACTAGTAAAGTCTTCACCACACTCAGAACATTTACACACCTTGGGGGCGGAGATTGTTTAGGCAAAAGTTGTTTATCCTTTGGTTTATCCTATTTCTTATCTCCTTGGCATCTTCCTTTTTTCGGATGACATTTTCTCTTCTTTTTAGAGGAGCCCGGGTCAAGTGGAGGAGAGAAAACTTGTCATTTAGAGTTACTAAAACAGACAGAAGAAGCCCTACCTATCTATTTGGCAAAGAGCTCCTTTACTTGGTCCAGCTGTTCTGCAGGTTCAGAGTACTTGAACGTAGTACCGTCGGGAAAGCTTATCTCTATAGAGAAGTTCATCATATTATGTTTGGTTTTTAAAACTACTATCTCTTGTTGTTTACTTTTTTCCTTGGGAAAATTTTCTTATAAGGAAATTTTTAAGAAAAAAGGGGTTACAGGAAAGAGTTTTTTTTTTTTTTTATTACTCATAATATATATCATTAAATTACTAAGATATTAATATATAATTATTAAATTTATATACTATATATCAAAGATATAATTAATCTTTTGAGAACTATATATGATATAATCTATTATGGAATATATTGTGATAAAAATAGTCTCTAATACCATTGAATAGTTATTTTTAATTATGATCTTCATTCTATTTTCATTTTTATCTATTTATTTATAATTATTACTTTGATATTCATTGATATTCTTATTGATACTTAATTAGTATAGATCACTTTATTAAATATAGCACATAATATAATTTACCGTAAATTAGGCAGACCAGGAGGCCTAGGAAACCCAAGTGGCCCATTTTTACAAGTATATAAATAGTCATAATTTGCTTAAAAGTAGAATAAGTTTGGATATAACTTCACTTGACTTTGGAAGTTAGCAGATAACTTCATTTTAATTTCTTTTGATTTTAGAATTAAAGAAATTGTCCTAGTTTTCTTGATTTATTAATAAACTTAGGTTCTGAGTGAAAAAAATTTTTTGTGAAACATTGTGTGATACCATTTAAAGAATTCTTGGTGAATTTATTCTTTAATATTTCTTTAATTATTATAAATCATTTCTTTAATTCATTTTTGGGGAATTGTCCTTTTAAAAGCAATTTCGCTTGAATACACTGATCAAATATAAATTTGATTACAATATAAAATCAAAAATAGATACAAATATCTAATTAAAAAATATAACCCAATCAGTTTCTTGAAGAATAATATAAGTTTATAATAAATTCTTAAAATATTATATAACCTAGACAAAATAAAACAAGTTGACAAAATAATATTACCTATATTAAAATTAATATATTGATCAAATATTGATAATATAGATAATATGATTAGGTAAATTTATTTACTTAATAATTAAGATCATATAATCAGAATCATATATTATCTATTTTTAATAAAAATACATATTATAAAAAAAAATAATCATAATAATAAATTAATTAATATGTAATAAATTAATTAATATATAATAAATCTAAATATTAATAGAAAAATAGATTTTTTAAATATTTTTCCTAAAGTTTGATTATTTAGAATATTATAAAGTTAAAGAGTATTTCAATTAAAGATTCTTTTTAAAAAGGAATTATTAAATAAATTAAAAACCTTTTAAAGAAATTTAAGAAAAAATTTTTTTCTTAATTATACTTTAGCCATTTATTATTTTTATGAAATAATTAATAGTAATAAACTAGTGATAATAATCTTAGTAGTTAGGGATTAAGTATTAAAATATTAGAAAAATACAATATTATTTTCTGAATTTGATTTAAAATACTTGATTAAGACTTAGATTATTTAATTTAAACTAGATTAGTAAACTTATTATATTTTTTAAGTATTATAGTTCTTTAATTAATAATATATAATAATGAATTAATTATTCTATAAAAGTCTATAATTATTAAAATTTATTAAAATTTATTTAATATTTCAATAGAAATATACTATGATAATATAATTGTAAGTAAAAAAAAAAATTGTTATATTAAAAGAATTTAATTATTTATTTATAAGGTTTTACATCTAATATCAATTGTGATTTTTAATCTTTTATTATTCTTTCTTTTTCTTTTTTCCTATACTTGCACATTTTTAAATATCTCTCTTCCCTTTTTCAACCCATTTCTTTTTGTAGTTTCCTGTATTCCAAAGGAGGCTATTATTTCTTAAGACAGGTTAATATAATGTTTAACTGTAATATGTACCATGCTGCTTGAATGAATATGTACTTATGTATTCTTTTGATTAATAAATTATAACCTGACCTGATTACGAGTATTGCAAATAAAAAATTTAAACCAATTTTTATTTAGAAAAAAATTATTAGGTGTAATAATAAAAACTTTAGATAAAGCATTATAATAATTTTTAAGTAATCCATCGTTTAACTAGGAAGTTCCGAAATGGTTAATTATATCTATAAAATATTTCCTTTATATAAAACCTCTGGATTGAACGGTTGATCGAGGCCAACACTTCAACGAAAAATAATAGCATCACTAAATATATCATGCCAAATTTTATTTTCACAGACAGGCTTAACTTCTCGGTCATATGTTCTTATTTCATCGATAAAATTACACGATATGGGCCAACATTAGTTGGGGATGGAGATACGATTATTAGATTTATTTCAAGATACCATACACATGGTATTCATATGCAAATAAATTTACAGTGTATCTAATGTGAATCTAGAGAATGATTAATTTGATGTTGATAAAAGTAGCTCAGACCTATTGAAACAATAGGTTGCGAAATTTGTTATCATTTTTTCGATCTAATTCTTGTTTCGAGTATTTTCCCGTAAACCAGAAACGCGAAAAAAAAATCAAACCTTTTACTTTGATTTATCATCGCTACTAGTATCTTTATATCATTGCAAAGACGCACTCAGATTTGGCTAACATTCGTCATTTCTTTTTTTCAAAGATCGGAATCCTCTTTTGAAATTAAGAAGCAAAATAGTTACTTTCTTATCCTCACCAGCATAGCAGTCTTTAATTTGATTGGATGATCGAATGAAATGTTACACGACATGATTTGAATTCGGCAAGTAATTCGATAATTCGGAAATTGGACAAGAGGCGTTTTATAATATGCAAAGGTAGTGAGAAATCAAATCATTTGATAAGTCTCTTTTAAGACATATTGATACAAAAAAAAAAAAAAAAAAAAATATTAATATTTCAAAATTCAATAATGATTTCATTAATTTTCGATTCAATAAATTTTATCGAAAAAATTATTGATCGAAAACTTATTTATTTTCAACCTCCACAAATGCGAGGGATAAGAAATTCTCATTCACATTTAATTGTCACGCTTTCTATAGTGTTCATCACATTCGCTCCAATGGCCTGAGACCCAACAATTTGAGCGCATTGCCAAGCGTTATTCGGGTGGCCCAAAACATTAGTAACCTGGCCTCTGCCAACTGAGATTCCACCCCCATAACCCACAAAGACTCTAACGCCACAGAAACGATATGACTTAATTTCATCGCATATGTCACAACAGTGCACGGTTCCAATGTGTACAGAGCGGACTTGACTACATCAGGATACTGCGCAATCATATCTATGAGTTCTATCGCGGGTTTTTCCTTCAGCAGATCAAAGTTTATTGACGGCTTGACCACAAGCCCACAATTACGCTCGATCGAACATAGACGAGCGTGTGCATATTGGAGGTATGGACCAGTGTCTCCTATAAATTAGTAAGTTTGATTTTAAGTTGGTCATCCGATATCCGTGATATATAATCCTCCGACGTGCATAAATAGTATCATACCTTCAAATGAAAACATTCGAGTCCAATCAAACGAATAATTTCGAATCCTGTGTGATAAGATATTGTTAATAATCACCGTGTAAAACCGCATTATACAAGGACTGGGTTGTACCTCTTGGCCGACATATCTTGAATCATTACAGCAGAAATACCAATTACGTCAGCGACATATTCGGGGTTATCTATCTGCGAATATTTTTTTTCATTCTGTCTCATCACCTCATGCATGCTCTCCTTAGTTTGCTCGAGGATTTCATCTAAGAAAACGGCCGTTCCTTTACGAGTACTCATCCCTTTGACCATACCAAAATTTATATGCTTGCATCGATCTACCCATTCTATTCCCATTAATTCTAAAATTTTGAATAGTTGTTTAAAATGTAATTCCTGCTGAGAAGCTACTGTATAATACATTGCGTCAAATTTGTACTTTTCATATCGTTCCATGGCGGCGCCGATGTCACGAGTGATGTATAAAGTGGTGCCATCATTTTTTTGGATCAATGCAACGTCTAATTTGTAACCACTCAAATCGACAATCAGTGCTCCATCAGATTCTTTAACAATATTTTTCTCTTTTAGTATACTTAATGCATGTTGCATTCTTTCGTTACTTATTTGAGATTCACCGGAATAAACATCGAAATCAATGTTTAGGCGTGCATAAGTTTCTTTATATTTATCTATACTAAGATCTCTGAACTTTTTCCACAACGCAAGTGCCTCTCCATCACCTAAAAAATTGTTACGGGTCAATAAAATTATGATATATTGAGGCACAATATGATAAAGTACCGTTTTCCATTTTCTTAAAGTATGCTCGCGCCCGATCATCTACGTCGGTATCCTTCTCAATATCAGCCTATATGTGTTCGCAAATAATTTAAAATAAAACTCTTGAACTCGTTAATTATAACAAGAAAAGGGCCTACATTAATTTTTACGTAAACATCGTACAAATGCTTTATAGGATTTTTAAGTAATTCCTCTTCGGACCCATATTTTTCAAACCCTACCGCCAGTAGGCCTAATTAGGTGATATTCCAAAGTGAAAAAGAAAAGATGTTATTTAAAATCGATAGTAGAGTGCACTAATCAATGTGGCTCACCATACTGTTTTCCCCAATCGCCGAGATAATTCAAACCAATTGCTTTCCAACCGTTGGAGATATGTACGTTTTTAATGAAATTTCCAATTATTGTGCTACGCAAGTGACCAGCATGGAAGGGTTTCGCTATGTTTGGACTACTAAAGTCGATAACGCACGTTTTACCCTGTCCCGACTGATTTGTACCGTAAGCTTCTTTTTTTTCATATATGTGGGTGAGAAGTGATTTTGTGAGAAGAGGGTGAGAATATCGAAAATTCAGATAATGATCGACTTGCGACGCGTCAATTATGTATTCATTAGGAACAAACTATGAAGCAATTAAAATGTGTGATGGCAGTTAGGATCGGATGCTGGAAACATAAAATTCCGCAGTCGCCGTTCGAATTATGTTTGACTTGCCTTTTTTACTAATTTCTGGGCTAATTGGACCGGATTTTCCGGTACTCGAAGTCTAGGCACAGCAATGGTGATATCACCAAGCTCGGGATTTCTGGGAAGTTCAAGTAAACCGAAAATATCATCGGCGGATTTTCCGGTATGCTCGGCAATCATAGATGCCACGATTCCTCGAAACGGGTCCAATTTGTTGTTCTCATAATCAGCCCCTTTGATTTGAGGTAAGACTGTAGTTGAGTCTGAATTACCAGTCTTAATAGCCGCATCCACCAATTCCACGGCTTCCTTTGAAGCTTTTAACTCATCCATCCTATCGATCCAATTTTTGTGATTGTTCGATTTTCCGTTGTTATCACCTGCCATTTTCAACACACTCCAAGCGGAAAAATCAGCCAGCACGGGTCTGTCCGGATATATCAAGTAGTTTCCTCCGCGCTTCTCCAACGACTCGTTAATTAAGGACAGCTTTAGGTCTGGTGTGGATCTCGCACCAAAAAGATTAAGCAAGTCGTCCTGATATGAAGTCTTGAAAAGTTCCGAGAGCGTGGTTTCGTCATATAACGAGTTTTTATGTTCAGAGGAACGCGCTAGATAACGAAATATGTTGGATCCTGTAAAGGTAATGGAGGGTTTAATATTGGTAAGCGTTAATGTAGTCTCGGTTTTTTTTTTGTTTGGAATTAGTTTTAGAGATGTGAGCTCTTCAGAATGGCGGGCTGTGATATATACAGCTACCTCCCCGTAAGGTGGGAAGTCGTTTGAAAAATGTAGCTCCATTTAATCAAAATAATAATTCGAGAATTATCATTTACATCTGCTGTATTTATAATAGTTATAATTACTAGAGAAGTTTCCGATCCGTGATAAAATCTTGTGAAGTTTCCCAGAAAGTTGTCCGATCATTCCTTATTGTACAGCTACCAAGGCGAAGTAGTCACGGTGACTAATTTCTAGGCTGAGGTTGAATCGGAGGCAGTGTATTTATTGTAGCTGCTACGCATTAAAATTGCTGATTCTAAGACTGTTTCCGAAATTTTACACAGTAAGTCGATCTCATTGAAGAAAAACGGTTCAATTATATCCTCAATAGGAAGGAATAATGGGTCTTTACAAATATTAAAAAAATTTTTTTACGTAATATGTATGTTATAAACTCAATATTGTCTATTGAGACATTAAATAAACATCTATAATATCATATAACTTTTACATATTATTAAAAATTATTAAGTTAGTCAAATTAAAAAAAAAAAAAAAATCTTAACTATGTGCTTTAAGTTAAATTTAGAAAGTAATATTTCATTTTTCTGATAGATTAGTACTAGTAATCTTTATCTATCAAAATTTATAGATTATTTCAAAAAATAATAAATTGTTAAATTCATGTACTAAAAAAAAATAAAAAATAATAAAAAATAAAACAAAAACTATTTAAAATTCTTCCAAAAAATTTTTATTCTAATAGTTTTCTTTTAAAAAAATCCACCTAAATAAAATAATTTTTTTACTTTAAACGATTTTAAGAATTTATTTATTTATTTATAAACTTCTTTAAAAATTTTTAAAAACTTATTTTTCTACTAATATATAAATTTTCTTATTATATTTTAAAAACTAATATTAATATTATATACAATAAAAGTTATAAAATCTTTTTATAATAAAGAATATAAGTTAAAAAATAAAAAAAAAAGTTATGTTTATTTAATTAATCCTCTAACTATATACAAAAAAGATGTTCATAAAAAGTTTTTATATTTCATTACTAATAAAGTCTTATATTTTCCTTAAATCAATCTGAAGGTTACCTTCAAAAGTTATTCCCACCTTTTTTCTTTTATTTACAATTATCTTCAAACAAACTAAACTTTTGTAACCTGCAAAATTCGGTTCCTATCTTTATTACCAATAACAAGAAAGTTTTTAAAGAAGAACTATCAGTGAAATACCTGTCATTACTTTTTTAAGGTAAAAAAGCTAGACAGAATAGAGATTCTGCACTAGTCAAAAATTTTAATTTTTCCTTTGATCAATTATATGATTTTTAAAAATTCCTATTTAATAGCTATTTAAGGAATTTTGGCTATTTTAATCTGGTTCTAAAATTCTAGGTGATATAAATTCCACCAACTTTGATTGATTAACATGAAACACATTGAACAAAATTGATAAACAAGTCTCTATTGACCACTTTATGTATTTGAATTTATTTATTCAGTTCCATAAAAATCTGAAGTTCATCATAAATCATATATGTTAATATGAATAGATATATGATATAATATTATTATATTATTAAATATAAAAAAGAGTTTATCTAATCATGATAAAGATTACAAAATACTCAATTATCTTTTATAAATTAAAGCTACCTATATCCTGATTGTATGTTAAGTAGATCTCAATTTTTATTGTTCAAAAAAGTTCAATGAATTAAAGAAGTAAGGAATGTCTAGAAATACTTATTGATAAAGTTAGTATATAAAATAATTTAAAAAGTTTTTATTCTATTTTCAAAAAATTCCAAGCTGAAAAATTAGAAGATTAATATTATTAAATCAATTAAAACTTGAGTTCAAAATATCAGCAGTAATATGCAAATCAGCTGGAAATTTTGAAGATCTTTATTAATTATTAATATTGATAACTATTAGTAAGATATATTGACTATAAGGCTAGGAGTTGTTTTTCTTATAAAAAATTAAATCTAAAATATGATATATAGATGGATCTGTATACCTATATTTATATAGGAATAAATTTAATTGATAATATGCTAAAAGACTTTTAAGTTACTCATGTGAATGCCAATATATTATCCAGATCTTTCTGATTACTTTCTCTTTCCAAGCCTTAAAACTGTAAAGTTTTCCTCTTAATTTCAAACTTATTTCTATAAAGACTTAATAAAAGTTTTTTCCAGGTCATATTTACAATAAGGAGAACTCAGGAAACAAGATATACATAATATTAAGGAATATAATTATCACTTTTTAGTATAGTATATAATCATTTATTTTCCAAAAAAATTTTTTTTCTCATTTAATAACATTAACATACTCAATGAGATATTGGTTTTTTTTTATAAAAAAAAGGACAATAAGCCTTAAAGTAATATTAACTTATTATAACTCTTTATTATTTCAAATATATATTTTTGTACCTTTGTATTAGTATATCATATATGTGTAATTTAGAAATTTAATAAAGTAAGACATAAGTCTGATAAAAAAAAAAAAGTTTATTTAATAAAGAACAAAGTTTTTTTTTAAGATTTATAAAAGGTATTACATAAATTTTATTAAAAAAAGTAAAGCAGATTTTAAAAAAATTTTTTTTATTTATATAAAAAATTAGTTAATTAATATATTAATTAAAACAATCATTAATTGATTAATATCTTAATTAAAGTAATTATTTTTTTTTTTTTTTAAATTAACCCTCTGTCAGGTTAGTTAGGTGTGCTTTATTAAACCTTTGTAAACTATACA